TAGGGTAGTACCGTGGCGTCAGTTTAGCTCACAGCAACCTCAACTCCTGGGCTCAAGCGATCCTGCTGCCTCAGCCTCCCCGAGTAGCTGAGACTACAGCGAATGCGCCACCATGCCCGGCTAATTTTTATATATATATATATATTATATATAAATTAGCCGGCCTGAGCAAGAGTGAGACCCCTCTCTACTATAAATAGAAATAAATTAATTGGCCAACTAATATAATATATATGCATACATATTAGTTGGCCAATTAATTTATTTCTATTTATAGTAGAGAGGGGGTCTCACTCTTGCTCAGGCTGGTTTCAAACTCCTGACCTGGAGCAACACACCCGCCTTGGCCTCCCAGAGTGCTAGGATTACAGGCGTGAGCAACCGCGCCCAGCCGGGTTTTTTTTTTTTTCAATAAAAAGAATGTCAACAATTCAGTAATTCAACCTAGAATTCGTAAATACACTTTGACCTCAGAGTTGATAATGGATGTAAAAAGCACATCAGACTGAGGTTGGTTTGTTTTTTGTTTTTTGGTTTTTTTAAAGAGATGAGATCTTGCTCTGTTACCCAGGCTGGAGTGCAGTAGCATGTTCTCTTAGCTCAATGCAGCATCCAATTCCTGCTCTCAAGTAATCATTCCACCTCAGCCTCCCAAGTAGCTGGAACTACAAGCATGCACTACCACTCCTGGCTAATTTTTAAATTTTTTGTAGAGATAGGGTCCTGATATGTTGCCCAACCTGGTCTCAAACTCCTGGACTCAAGCAATCCTCCTGCCTCAGTGTCTGAAAGCTCTGGGATTACAGGCATGAGCCATCATACCTGACTTTGGATTTTTTTTTTTTTGAGACAGAGTCTCGCTTTGTTGCCCAGGCTAGAGTGAGTGCCGTGGCGTCAGCCTAGCTCACAGCAACCTCAAACTCTTGGGCTCGAGCGATCCTTCTGTCTCAGCTCTCCGAGTAGCTGGGACTACAGGCATGTGCCACCATGCCGGCTAATTTTTTTATATATATATATCAGTTGGCCAATTAGTTTCTTTCTATTTATAGTAGAGACGGGTCTCACTCTTGCTCAGGCTGGTTTCAAACTCCTGACCTCGAGCAATCCGCCCGCCTCGGCCTCCCAGAGAGTTAGGATTACAGGCGTGAGCCACCGCGCCCGGCCTGGATTATTTTTTTAATCGTAAAATAAAACTAATATTTTATGGTAGCAGTCTTTGACATAAAATCTGATGTCTAATTGCCATTTAGTGTGTTAAATGGATAACATTTTGAACAATGAGAGTTCTTTGGGGATAGAAATATTGTTAACTGATTTGAATTGGGATGTATGTTATTTCGGATTTTAAAGAATTGACTTTTGGCAGGGCAAGGCGGCTCACGCATATAATCCTAACACTCTGGGAGTCCAAGGTTTGATCGCCTGAGGTCAGTAGTTCTAGACCAGCCTGAGCAAGAATGATACCCCATCTATACTACAAATAGAAAAATTAGTGGGGCGTGGTGGCACACACCTGTAATCCCAAGCTACTTGGGAGGGTAAGGCAGGAGAATCGCTTGAGCCCAGCAGTTTGAGATTGCTGTGAGCTAGGCTGATGCCATGGCACTCTAGCCCAGGTGACAGAGCAAGACTCCGTCTCAAAAAAAAAAAAAAAAAAAAAAAGAATTGACTTTTGAAATGACTTCCTTGAACTATTAAACTATAGTGTACAACAGACAATAGCTAACATTTATTGAGTATTTAATGTCTCAAACTCTGTTCCGAGACTTTCCATGTTTTATCAGTTAATTTTGAGAATCCTGTAAGATGGGTGTACTTACATGTCTATTTTATAGATGAGGAAATTGAGACGTAAAACGTTACAAATATTGTAGCCAAAATTTGACCGAGGCAGTTTGACTCCAAAGCTTGTACTTAAAGCACAATGTTCAGAGTAAATCATTAAGAATCTTGGAAACCGCTGGTGTGGTAGCTCTCACCTGTAATCCTAGAATTTAGCACTTGGGAGGCTGAGACAGGACGATTGCTTGAGGCCAGTAGCGCAAGACCAGCCTAGCAACATACTGAGACCTCAACTCCACAAAAAATCTTCAAAATTAGCTCAGCATGTTGGCACACACCTGTTGAGGTGGGAAGATCACTTTTAGCCCAGAAGTTCGGTGTTACAGTGAATTGTGATGATGCCACTGCATTCCAGCCTGGGCAACAGAACAAGATTGTCTCTCTCTTTTTTTTTTTTAAAGAAGTCTTGCTAAGAGGCTGGGCGCTATTGCTCATGCCTGTAATCCTAGCACTCTGGGAGGCTGAGGTGGGCGGATAGCTCGAGGTCAGAAGTTTGAAACCAGCCTGAGCAAGAGCAAGACCCCGTCTCTACTATAAATAGAAAGAAATTAATTGGCCAACCAATATATAGCTGGGCATGGTGGCACATGCCTGTGGTCCCAGCTATTCGGGAGGCTGAGATAGGATTGCTTGAGCCCAGGAGTTTGAGGTTGCTGTGAGCTAGGCTGACACCATGGCACTCGCTCTAGCCTAGGCAACAAAGCGAGACTCTGTCTTAAAAAAAAAAAAAAGTCTTGCTAGGGTTTACTTGGCTAGTTATTATCAACAGGCCTAAGATATTAGAACATCTCAACATAAGCTGGCAAAGATTTTTTTTAAAAGTAATTCCATTAGAGTAAATCTGTTTACAACTTCTTTTGTGAATATAACAGATTTCTTATGATTACAAATAATAGCTTTATAAAAACATTTTTTTAAGGGTAGAGTGCTAGAGTTGCAAATATAGTAATTATTATTATTATTTTTTTTTGAGACAGAGTCTTGGTCTGTTGCCTGGACTAGAGTTCCATGGCGTCAGCCTCTAGCACACAGCAACCTCAAACTCCTGGGCTCAAGCAATCCTTCTGCCTCTGCCTCTGCCTCAGCCTCCCGAGTAGCTGGGACTACAGGCATGTATCGCCATGTCCAGCTATTTTTTTTTTCAATATAATTTTAGCTATCCTTCTATTTTTAGTAGAGACGGGGGTCTCCCTCTTGCTCAGGCTGGTCTCTAACTCTTGAGCTCAAGCAATGATCCTCCTGCCTATGATCCTAGCCTCCCCAGAATGCTAGGATTACAGGCATGAACCACCACGCCCAGCCTATAAAAATATGTATCTGTTGATTTCATGTACTTTTTTTGAACGAGTAAATTTTGCTTTAGGCAGTTAAGTAGAATAGACATCTTTGTTATAAAGTAGATTAAAGAAATTTTTTTTTTTTTTTTTTGAGACAGAGTCTGACTTTGTTGCCCAGGCTAGAGTGAGTGCCATGGCCTCAGCATAGCTCACAGCAACCTCAAACTCCTGGGCTCAAGTGATCCTCCTGCCTCAGCCTCCCAAGTAGCTGGGACTAGAGGCATGCACCACCATGCCCAGCTAATTTTTCTATGTATATTAGTTGGCCAATTAATTTCTTTTTTATTTATAGTAGAGACGAGGTCTCGCTCTTGCTCAGGCTGGTTTCGAACTCCTGACCTTGAGCAATCCTCCCGCCTTGGCCTCCCAGAGTGCTAGGATTACAGGCGTGAGCCACCACTCCCGGCCTAGAAATTTTTAACTGAAAGTACTGATATTTCCAGATGCATTACTTTTTGTCTACTATGCCTTGTTGGTAAAAGGGGTGAATTATAGCAAGAAAGCCAGGAACAATAATGGGGTTATCTTTGCTTATGGGGAGGTATACCTATGATTTTGAAAATACAGGGCATATTTAGTTTAATTTTGCACGTTATCCATACCACTCATGTACAGTTCTTTTCCATATATTTGATCAGTGCAGGTTAATTTTTAATTATAGAAAAAAACATATGAATACTTTCTTTTTATAAAAATGCAAACATTACAGATGAAAGTAAAAAGCTTTTTGACCACCAACTCAAATCCTTAACTCCTTCTTGCTTCTACGAAGTGACTGCTGTGGAGGCCTTAATAATAATAATAATGATAATTTTAATGTCAAAGAAAAGAAAAAGTGACTTAGGGGTACTTTTACAGTTTTTGTGTGAAACTTGTGACAGCCCAATGATGATCACTAGTCCTACTTAGAGAGAATAGGACTAACTTTCAGAAGTCCAGACATTTTTCTACCTTTTATACTTTATATTTCTTTTATTTTACTTCTCCTTTCTATCTTTTATCACTTTCTTTCTACATTCTTTTTATCTTTTGCCTGGATTAAGATTGTTAAGTCCTTCTCAGTGAAGGGTAAGATTATGAGATCTGAGGGCTGTTTAAACCTCCTAACTTGTTATGTATACTGAAATGCAATGTGAAAATTTGGTGAATGATAGTTTCTCATGAGGTCATTTTCAGATGTGATGGGTAATATAAATATTTTTTAAATTACTTTTTGTTAGGTGACATACTGTTATTTTCATTGCTGTTTTTAAAGTTCTATTTTCTACATAAAGTAGTTCTTCAAAAAAGTGTCATTTTTTATGAAACTCAGCACAACTTTGTAGCCTGATTTTTATCTTTCAGTTTTAATAGTAGTAACTTAATTTTTTATCGTCTCTAAAGAATAGGACAGCTAAAGATGCAGTTCGAATTATATTTAATTGTTGGGCTTATAATTACTTATGATTTAAACTCCTGTTTGGAGAGCCAGGAATTGGCAACATGTTACTAATATTATAAATTTGTAATTGTGGAAATAGATTGTGAAAATTGGGATATATAAACTGTAAGTAATGAGCCAAACATAAATCTCACGCTTCCTTGTTAATCTACCATAAAGCCAAGGTCCTCAGTTGCTTAGTCTTACACTAGATGTTTTTGTTATTGATAAACCTGCATCCTCTCTCCATTACTCTACCCTGGCTTCATTTGCTTGCAAGTTTTTAGGAAGTTGGGTGCCTATACCCATCATCCAAGGTAAAAGCTACTTTGGTTAAAAGCAGGTTTGTTTTTTTAACTACATTACATACCTTAATTCATGAAGTCATGCCAGTCAGTTGGTTGCATTGCTGTATTTTCCTAATTTTTTGTCCAAATATGGATCTTTGAACAGCTAATTTCATTTGGTGAAGGATGCTAGCTTTTTAGTATATTCAAATATTTCCTTCCCTTTTGATTGTTGCTCCCCTATATAGCCTTGTAAGACATTTTTTTCTAATTTCCTCCTTTGAAAATTTAACACAGATTATTGAATATCTATGTGTATTGTATATGTGTTTTATATGTAAAAGTATTATTATTGGTGGATTCCCACCAATTTTTTTTCTCTCTCGTTGGGATACTTTTGCTTCCATTGAGAATTTGTGGCATAGAGTCATTAGTAAGCTTAAAGCCTGGCTAATTTAAACACGTAAAGAATGCAGCTAATGTTAAAAACATCAGCTAATATCTAAATTATATTCTGAGTATTGAGGTAGAAGTAGCTTTATCTCAATTTTGGATCCCCCCCCACAAAACACTGCTTTTTTTTTAATGTAAAAATTCTTCTGCCTTTTAAAAATAATATGTCTGGATTATAAAAATAGTTATATTTTATATGACACATTTTATTTTTTGAAAATCAAAGTATAGCTGAAGCCAATTTTTAACCTGACAAAAGATTTTTCTATCTTGATTTATCCCTTTGTGTATGTGATCTTATATTTCTTATAGTGTGAAGCCTCATTTTAGGTCATCCAGTGGTTCAGAACACTCAACAGAGGGCTCTGTGTCGTTGGGGGATGGACAGTTGAACAGATCCAGTTCAAGGAACTTTCCAACTGAACGGCATAACCCTACAGTAGCAGGGCATCAGGAGCAAACTTACCTTACAAAGGAATCTCCCACTTTGCAGATGGAACAGAATGGGGACTATGGTAGGGGCAGGTAAGTAAATGTGGGCATATGAAAAATTTTTATCATGTTACCATCCTGAATATTTGATTATCACAATTTGTTGGGGTTTTTTTTTGTCCTAATTATTGGTATATGGTTATGCTAAATAAATACATTGTATAACATGAGTTAATAGTTTTTATGATTATTAAGAATTAAAGAGTACCTATATGGAATATACTTCTGAATCAGAAGTTTATAAAGTTACTTGGAAGTTCTTTATAGTTCACTTTAGAAAGAACAGCTTAGAAAGATTAGATAAATGTCTGTCTTATAGTTTTAACGTCTTCCACTTCTAAACTATAGAAGTGAGATTATTTATTGTCTGCCCTGCCTAAGTTAAACCCTAATAATGCTTCTGCTGTGAAAAGAATGCTGCTAAAAATAGGCCCAGTTTCTTTGTGGTGGTGGTTGTAGGTGAAGTTTTCAGTAAATTAGCTCAGGATCTCTTCAGAAGAATACATTTATCTTTTAATAATAATGGAGAGGAATGGCCTCAGGTTTAGAAAGCATAAATATTTAAAACAGAAACCTCTCTACCTTTGATAGAATGTAATGATTTGAAGAAACTTATGAGTTATTCCATCCCTGTTTTTTTTGTTGTTAAAGGAGAACTCTCTTCAGAGGTCGAAGACGACGAGAAGATGATAGGATCCCAGTAAGTTTTTGGTTTTTTTTTTTTAACTTTTAATTAACATCATTTAGATTTTTTTTGTGTGTGTGTGTGATTTACCGTGGTGTTGGCTTGTGATCTGTCTTTCTTTTCTGGGTTTTCATTTTATTAAAAGTAAATAGAGGCCGGGTGTGGTGGCTCACACCTGTAATCCTAGCACTCTGGGAGGCCTAGGTGGGCAGATTGCTCGAGGTCAGGAGTTCGAAACCAGGCTAAGCAAGAACGAGGCCCTGTCTCTACTATAAATAGAAAGAACTTAATTGACCAACTAAAAATATATAGAAAAAATTAGCCAGGCATGGTGGCGCATGCCTGTAGTCCCAGCTACTGGGGAGGCTGAGGCAGCAGGATTGCTTGCACCCAGGAGTTTGAGGTTGCTGTGAGCTAGGTGGACTTGCCCAGAGAAAGATCAGCCCAAAAGTGCTCAACTTCCTCCAGAAACTGGTGACAATGTTGGCCTGTCTGCAGTCTTGTGCAGGGTAAGAAGAACATACTTGAGAATGACTCTTTAATCCTGAAATTGGATTATATGGATGGTTGTTGATTGTGGAAGAGAAGGTTGACTGTGGGACAGCAGTTTAAGACAATCTGATGGTTAGCCTGGACAACAAAGTGAGACTCTGTCTCAAAAAAAAAAAAAAAAAAGTAAATAGAGCCTGAATTTGACCCCAGAATATTCACTACCACAACTTACACAGCTAGCCTTAAGCACATACACAGTTAGGAGTATGACTTATGTTACTTACTTAAAAATTTTATATTCGAATATCTATTATATTCACATGGTTTAGAAATAAAAATATGAAAAGTTTATTGCATTATTTACGGACATTTAAGTAGTTTCTGTCTTTTACAAACAGTGTTATTATAGACAGTGCAATGATAACCTCATTTATAACTAGCATTTACCACGTGTGCAATTATATCTGAAGGAAAATTCTTAGAAGGGGGAATTTCTGGATCAAAATTCAATTGCTGCCAAACAGCCTTTTTTATGAATTGTGCCAACTTTCATTCCCACAAACAGTAAACAAAAGTTCCTGTTTATGGGCTTACAGAATGTATTATTTTCTTTATTTCTTTTTTTTTCCTTTTCTTTCTTTCTTTTTTTTTTGGCCAGTCTGAGAGGACATGCATGCTTCAGTCTTAAAGCTCTGTTCGATGATGTTAAAAACTTAAACCATTTATTAATTGTTAGGCCAATATTCTACATACATTCTTATATGTACTGATCTTATAAGACATTTTATAGATAGAAAATAGTCATTTTTATATATCTTCTTATTTGAACTTCAACTTTTCTAGCTTTAAATTATTCATATTTTTATTTTTTGAGGTTCATAGTGAATGTTTGCAATCTCTTAACTAGGGGCAAAAAAAGTTGAGAAATATAAATGGTGTGGGAAAGCATGGAGATCTTCCAAAACTCCCCTATAAATTCACAGATATATTATAAATGTGTAACATGTTTATTTTCCTTGTATGAAGCTTTATAGTGAAAGGAAACTTCATTTTCAAAGAAGAAAATGTATTGCATTATAACAAAGAATTGTCTTTTCTATATTGTGGGCAAATATGAAACTTTAGGCAACAATTATTTTCCTTCTTTGTTTTCTTTTTTTCTTTCAAGAGACGGGGTTTCACTTTGTTTCCCAGGCTGGAGTATGGTGGCATGATCAAAGTAGCTCACTGCAGCTTCAAAGTCCTGGGCTGAAATAATCCTCTTGCCTCAGCTTCCCAAGTAGCTGGGACTACAGACGCATGCCACTGTGCCCAGCTAAGTTGTTTTTTTTTTTTTTTTTTGAGACAGAGTCTTGCTTTGTTGCCCAGGCTAGAGTGAGTGCCGTGGCATCAGCCTAGCTCACAGCAACCTCAAACTCCTGGGCTCAAGCAATCCTACTGCCTCAGCCTCCCAAGTAGCTGGGACTATAGGCGCGCACCACAATGCCCGGCTAATTTTTTTTCATATGTATTAGTTGGCCAATTAATTTCTTTCTATTTATAGTAGAGATGGGGTCTCGCTCTTGCTCAGGCTGGTTTCGAACTCCTGACCTCGAGCAATCCGCCTTCCTCGGCCTCCCAGAGTGCTAGGATAACAGGCGTGAACTACCGCGCCCGGCTCCAGCTAAGTTTTTAAATTTTTTTACAGACGGAGGTCTCACTATGTTGCCCAGGCTGGTCTTGAACTCCTGTGCTCAGGCAGTCTTCCCACCTGAGCCTCCCAAAGTGCTAGGACTACAGACATGCATGAGCCACCACTATGCCTGGCCTGCAACAATTTTTTTTAGTGTGCCATTATAATAGTCCGCATGAATCGTCAAGTGGTCCTCAACAGTTGGGAGAAGAGAGGTTAGATTTGGGGTCTGTTTATTTTTATTTTTTTAATTAAGTTATTTTTTTAGACAGAGTCTCGCTTTGTTGCCCAGGAGATAGTGAGTGCCGTGGCTGTCAGCCTAGCTCACAGCAACCTCAATCTCCTGGGCTCAAGCAATCCTCCTGCCTCAGCCTCCCAAGTAGCTGGGACTACAGGCATGCACTACCATGCCCAGCTAATTTTTTCTATATATGTTAGTTGGCCAATTAATTTCTTTCTATTTTTAGTAGAGATGGGGTCTTGCTCTTGCTTACGCTGGTTTCGAACTCCTGACCTCGAGCGATCCACCCGCCTCGGCCTCCCAGAGTGCTAGGATTACAGGCGTGAGCCACCGTGTCTGGGCCGGGGTCTGTTTAATATGTTTTAAATGTCATGATTGAGCACTAAAAGTTGGGGTGAAGGAAAAGGAGACAGGCGTGAGCCACCGTGCCTGGCCCGGGGTCTGTTTAATATGTTTTAAATGTCATGATTGAGCACTAAAAGTTGGGGTGAAGGAAAAGGAGACAGGCATGCTTTCTAATAGGAAGGGCAGAGTTAAGGAGACTTTGTGTAGGTGGGAGATCTTAGAGATCAAATTTAGGATTTGCAAACCTAAACATAGTTATTGAAGTGATAAGAATTAATAAGGTGAGATCATGCAGAGTACTCTCTGAAGAGTGATAAAAGTGGTCCAAATATGGAATTTTATAGAACATAAGTAATAGCTTAGAAAAATGAGATTATTCAATATGTTGTTTGAAGTATCCAAGCAAAACTGAATAGATGTGGCTAAAAGGCAAAGGGAGATCTGAGTTTCAGGTAAAGGCCTAGGTTGAAAACATTTAAAGTGTACAATTCAATGATTTTTTGTAAATCTACAAAAAAACATCAAAATTTAAGAAGTAGGTAGAGAGAGAGAAACAAGCACATGACTGTGAGATATGAGAAGAACCAAGAGAAAGAGATATCACAGAAGCCAAGAGAAGAATGAGCTCCCAAAGGAAAGAACGTTTAACACCATATGCTGTAGTGAGGTCAGGAACAATAGTCTGTCAGGTTTTGCTTTGTGGAGGGCATTGGTGGCTTGCCAAACACAATTTTAGTGGAGTGATGAGTATAGAGATGTGGAAGCAGAGGAGATACAAGTGAGAGTCTTGTCAGAGGACATATAGTGTAGTAGATTGAAGGGAAAGATGAGATTTTAAAAAATGTTAGTTGGAAGAAAGATGTTCTCTCTTGAAACTGTATAGGAGCAAGATGATGGCACATGTAGGTAAGGTGGGTATTCCTTTTGGGTAGGGGACGACACAGTCTCATCTGTCTCCCAGGCTGCAGTGCAGTGGCTTGATCATAGCTTACTGTAACCTCCAACTCTGAGGCTCAAATGACCCTCCTGCCTCAGCCTCCAGAATAGCTAATAGGACCACAGGTGCATACCACCATACCCTACTAATTTCCTCCCCTCCCCCTTTTCCTTTGCTTTCCCCTTTCCTTTTCTTCTTCTTCTTTTTTTTTTTTTAAAGACAGTCTCACTCTGTTGCCTGGGCTAGAGTGCCGTGGCGTCAGCCCAGCTCACAGCAACCTCGAACTCCTGAGCTCAAATGATTCACCCTCTTCAGCCTCCCGAGTGCTAGGATTACAGGCATGAGCCACCACAACCAGCCCGGCTAATTTTTCTATTTCTTGTGATAAGGTTTCACTCTTGCTCAGGCTGGAGTTTTTCTATTTTTTGTAGATACAGGGTCTTTCTCTTGCTCAGGTTGTTCTTGAACTCCTAGGCTCAAGCAGACCTCACATAGCAGCCTCTGAAAGTGCTGGTATTACAGGCAAGAGTCACTAGGCCTGGCTTTGTGTGTGTTTTTTTCTTATCGAGGGGGGTATAGCAAATTTGAAAATCAGTGAATAGTGGAGGTTGATTAGAAGGTTTAAGGAGTGTAGCAAAGTTTGCAAAAAAAAAAAAAATGGGAGAGAACTCACTAAAGACAAATAGGATTTGTAAAGACTACTAATGAGAGCTCAACTGAGTAGAGAAACCAAGTATTTATATATAGAGAGACAATTCTGTGCGTTCGGCTAGAGATTTTGTTTGTTTCTTTTCTTGCAGATTTCATCCTTTGTGGCATAAGATTAGAGAATCACATAGGCATGTGACTTGTTTTATTATTTGTGTCTTTTAGAGACCCCATCCTTCAACAGCTGAAGCAAAGGCTCCAACACCAAAGTTTGACTTACTAGCCACAAATTTCCCTCCTTTACCTGGAAGTTCATCAAGAATGCCAGGTGAACTTGTTTTGGAGAATAGGATGTCTGATGTTGTTAAAGGTGTCTACAAAGAAAAGGTAAACCTTGAATCATCTTACCTTATGAGACCATATTTAGGCTTTATTTTCAGGGTTATTGTTTAAAATTTTATTTGCACATAGTGCATATTTAATGGAGTTTTCAGCATACTTAGAATATTTTAAAAAGACTTATGATAAAACTACACAAGGTCAATGAAGTATTTCTTGACTTTTGCATGTCTTTATATCAATTAGTTTAGCTTGGTAGAACTGATTAATGCAAGCTAAATCAAAGCTGTCATTACCACATAAGTGCCTATAGTTAACCAGTGATATAAAGGAATTCTGAGCTATCCTGGCAAACTCAGTCTTTCAAATAATGGAGAGTAGATATCAAAAGGTTGGGATACCCCATCCTATAATATTTTTGAGTATAGACCTCTCCATCATTTTATACCTTCTAATTCATTTTTGTTTTTTCTTTTTTACTGTAACAGTCCATGTACATAGTATGTCTATGTTATAATGACAGGTTGGGCAGGATTGCTCGAGGCCAGGAGTTCAGGACCAGCCTGGGCAACATAGTGACTCTATTTAAAATTTTAATTAGCCAGACAGGATGGCATGTGTGCATAATCCTAGCTACTTGGGAGACTGAGCTGGGAGGATGGCTTGAGTTCCAGGAGTTTAAGGCTTCAATGAGATGTGGTCATGCCACTGCATTCCAACCTTAGTGACAGAACAAGACCCTTATCTCTTAACAACAACAAAATACCATGTAGAAGAAATCATTTTCCCTTGGAATTTTGAAGATATTAAAGATATCATAAACTATGTAGTTATTTCATTAATTCTAAGATGGACTTTTTAAATGTTTTACCACCTTAAAAAATCAGTCTTTCTTATAATTAAAAGCTATCATGGTTTAAATGGCAGTGTTTTTTTTTTTAATACATAAAATAATGGTATATTTTACAGTTGGTAGCTTCTCAGATATAATACACATACACACATTTTTTTTTATTTCAGCATATTATGGGGGTACAGATTTTAAGGTTTCAATAAATGCCATTCCCCCCCCTCCCCCCTCAAGTCTGAGTCTCCATCATGACCATCCCCCATATGGTGCACATCTCACTCATTATGTATGTATATACCCGCCCCCTCCCACCTGCCCAATACCCTATTACTGTAGTACCTATGTGACCACTTAGGTGCTGTTCAGTTAATACCAATTTGCTCGTGAGTATATTGGTGGTTTGTTTATTTCTTGGGAAACTTAATTAATAGTATGGTTCAAGCTCTACCAGGAAATATTAGAATGTGCTATGTCACATTTCTTAGGAGTGATGTACTCATGGATACAGTATACCCATTTTATTAAACCCATTTTGATGATGACACTTGGGCTGTTTACAGCTTTCGATTATGATTGTGCTGCTTACTTGAGTGCAGGTTGTCTTTTTTTGTAGAGGTGTATTGGATTTTGGTAGTGCAGCGATGGGTTGCTGGATAGATGGTAGATCACTTGTTCGCTTTAAAGATATCTTCCTATTGCTTTCCACAGAGGTTGACTAGTTTGCAGCTTCCCGCAGTGTAGGAGTGTTCTTCTGTCACCGGCCAGCATTTGTTGTTTGTGAGATTTTTGATAAAGCCATTCTCACTGGGGTTAAGTTGATATCTCTTGTTGGTTTTGATTGCATTTCCCTGATGTTAGGATGTTGGCTTTTTTCATAATGTTTGTTGCATTTCTTTGTCTCTTTAGAAAGTTTTCTTTTCAAGTCCTTTGCCATTTTTTAATGGGGACTTTTTAAAATAATAAGTGTACTTCTTTGTAATCCACCCAAATTATGCTATTACAATCCTCGTATCTTGCCAGTGACATGTGTATCTCCTTCCTATTTACGTCCTTTTTCCCTGTCCCTTTAGTTGATATTAAATTATTTGCTTGTGATACTAATAATAATTTTCTTTCTTTTCTTCACAGTTTTCTTTTTTTGAGGCAGAGGCTTACTCTGTTGCCTGGGCTGGTGTCTTGGCATATTTAGTCAGCCACTAAATCCTGGGCTCAGCTCTTCTGCCTCGGCCTCCCAGAGTGCTAGGATTACAGGCGTGAGCCACCGCGCCCGGCCTTCTATATACTTTTAATTGTCCAGCTAATTTCTTTCTGTTTTTAGTAGAGATGGAGTCTCACTTGTGTTCAGGCTGGTTTTGAACTCCTGACCTTGAATGATCCTCCCGCCTCAGCCTCCCAGAGTGCTAGGATTACATGCGTGAGCCACCATGCCCAGCCTCTTCACAGTTTTTATCATTCTGGGTTGGCAAGCTTTTTCTGTAAAGAGCTAATAGTAAATATTTTAGGCTTTGTAGGCCACATACTGTCATATATACCTTGTTTTTACAACTGTTTGTTAGTAACTTGAAAGCAATTCTTAGCTTGTATGCCATAGCAGAGTAAGTTGAAGCCTGAATTTGGCCTGCGAATTTTAGTTTGCCAAGCCCTGGCCAAACAATATATTGTTTTGTGTGCCTATTTTTGAACACCATATAAAGGAAAATGTATGTATTCTTCTGTCACTTCTTTTGTTCTAAATGGTTTGAAATTCATCACTATTCATGGAGATGACTATACCTCATTTCGAACTGTTGTGTAATATTCTCTTGTACAAATACAACATTCATCCATTCTATTGTTGATGGATGTTTCAGCTGGTTTTCTTCTTTGTTTGCTGTTATAAGCAATGCTGCTATAAATATTCAAATCTTTTGTTCATGTGAGCAAGAACTTTTCTAGGGTATATTCATAGGAGTGGAGTTGCTGGGTCATAGGGAATGCTCTTTTAAAACTTCAGAGTCTTTCAAATTTTTTTTCTTTTTTTTGAGACAGAGTCTCACTTTGTTGCCCAGGCTAGGGTGAGTGCCATGGCGTCATTCTAGCTCACAGCAACCTCAATCTCCTGGGCTCAAGCAGTCCTTCTGCCTCAGCCTCCCGAGTAGCTGGGACTACAGACATGCACCACCATTCCTGGCTAATTTTCTGTATATATATTTTTAGTTGGTCAATTAGTTTCTTTCTAATTATAGTAGAGACGGGGTCTTGCTCAGGCTGGTTTCGAACTCCTGACCTCGAGCAATCTGCCCGCCTCGGGCTCCCAGAGTGCTAGCCACCACACTCGGCCAAAATTGTTTTTTTCTATTGGACTGTCTTACAAATTTATATAGCTTTTCATATGTTCTGGATACTAATTGTTTGTCAGTTATATGTATTGCAAATAATCTTTTATAGTTTTCAGTCTTTAGTATCTTTGGGTAAAAACAAGTTCTTAAATTTTTTTTTCTTTCTTTTTTTTCTTGCTCAGCCACATGAAGGCAACAAGTTCTTAATTTTTATTTATTTATTTTATTTATTTATTTTTTTGAGACAGAGTCTCACTTTGTTGCCCAGGCTAGAGTGAGTGCCATGGCATCAGCCTGGCTCACAGCAACCTCAGACTCCTGGGCTCAAGTAATCCTTCTGCCTCAGCCTCCCGAGTAGCTGGGACTACAGGCATGTGCCACCATGCCCGGCTAATTTTTTCTATATATATTAGTTGGCCAATTAATTTGTTTCTATTTATAGTAGAAAATATAAATAGGGGTCTCGCTCTTGCTCAGGCTGGTTTCGAACTCCTGAGCTCAAATGATCCGCCCACCTCAGCCTCCCGGAGTGCTAGGATTACAGGCGTGAGCCACCGTGCCCGGCTTTAATTTTTATTTTAATGTCCTATTTATCACTCTTTATGATTTATTATTTTTATATCTTGCTTAATGTGCTCTAGCTTCCAGAGAGTCTTTTGAGAACCTAAGCATTCTGATTCCTAATCTCTGTGACCTTCTTTTGGTCTCTCTGGAGCCATTTAGGATTTTTATCCTTGGTATACTGTGAAATCTCATGTTGATGAATCTTCTTTATGGCTCATTTTTTTTTTTTTTCATTGCACTGGATGTTTGGTGGACCCCTTCAATCTGGAAACTGTTCCATGATGGGAAATTTTCCTGTATAATCTCTTTGATAAATTCTTTATCTCTACTGGGTGCAGTGGCTCACGCCTGTAATCCTAGCATTCTGGGAGGCTAAGGTGTGTGGATCATTTGAGCTCAGGAGTTGGAGACCAGCCTGAGCAAGAGCGAGACCCTGTCTTTACTAAAAATAGAGAGAAATTAGTTGGATAACTAAAAATACATAGAAAAATTTAGCTGGGCATGGTGGCACATGCCTATCTATAGTCCCAGCTGCTTGGTAGGCTGAGGCAGAAGAATTGCTTGAGCCCAGGAGTTTGAGGTTGTTGTGAGCTAGGCTGATGCCATGGCACTCTAGCTGGGGCAACAGAGTGAGACTTTGTCTCTAAAAAAAAAAAAATCTTTTTTCTTTGAGTTTTCTTAATTTTGATGTTTCTTATATGTATTTTCTGCAGAGTTTACCTGAACATTACCTTCTAAACCTATTGAAAAATTTATCTCATCAGTCAGTTTTGATTTCTAGAACTCTTTCTTTTTTAATTGTGATAAATGCACACAACATAACATATCCCATGTTAACATTTTAGATGTGTATGGTTTAGTAGTGTTAAGTACATTCACATTGTTGTGCAAATAATCTCTATAACTCTTTATCTTGCAGTACTAATTGCAAGATAAGTACACATTAAATTGCAACTCCTCTTTCCCCATTTCCTTAAGCCCCAGGCAACCAGTATTCTACTTTGTGTCAAATGACTATTCTACATACTCCATATAAGTGGAATCATATAGTATTTGTCTTTCTGTGACTGGCTCATTTTACTTAGCACAATATCTTCAAGTTTCATCCATGTTGAAGTGTGTATCAGTACTCCATTTCTTTTATTGCCAAATAATATTCCATTATTTGGATATACTACGTTTTGTTTATCCATTCACCAGTTGATGGACATTTGGGTTGTTTCCACTTTTGGCTATTATGAATAATGCTATTATGAACATTTACGTGAAAATTGTTTTATAGACATGGTTCTATTTCTCTTGGTTACGTGCCTAGGAGTGGAATTGCTAGGACACATGGTAACTCCATATTTATTAAACTTAAGGAACTGCCAGATTTTTTTCTAAAGAAATACATCATTTTATATTGCCACCCTCAATGTATGACAATTCCAATAGGTCCATATTATCACCAGCATTTGTTAATGTCTTGTCTTTTTTATTAAAACCATCCTAGTGGATATGAAGTGGTTTTTTCATTGTGGTTGTTTGGTTTTCTTTTGTTTTGTTTGAGACAGGGTCTCATTCTGTCCCTGAGCTAGAGTACAGAGTCATCATCATAGCTCACTGCAACCTCAAACTCTTGGGCTCAAGCAATTGTCCTACCTTAGTCTCACAAGTAGCTGTGTGCCACCACACCTGGTTAATTTTTCTATTTTTTATGGAGATGGGATCTCTTGCTGGTCTCAAACCCCTGACTTCAAGGGATCCTCCCACCTCAGCTTCCCAAAGTGCTAGGATTATAGGTGTGAGCCACCACACCCGGTCTCACTGTGGTTTAGATTTTTATTTCTCTAATACCTAATGATGTTGATCGTCTTCTCATGTGTTTATTGGCCATTTGTATATCTTATTTGGAAAAATGTCTGAGTATAATTTGAAATATCTTTTTACTTTAAGGATAGTGAAGAGCTGAGAGTTAGTTGCCCAGTGCCTGCAGAAGATGAGCAGACAGACTGCACTTCTGCCCAGCAGCTCAGTATGAGTACCAGTCCTCCATGTGCAGCTGAGCTTCCTACATTAAGGTACACGTTTCAGTATAGAAGACTTCAACAGTAAATTACTTTTTCTTCTATTCAGTTGCTTAACTGTTTGCTTGCTATTCTGAGTCTAATGTGAAGCTCTTTTTTTCCTTAGCACAACTCAGCAAGAAAAGGATTTAATAGAGGATTCTACTGTTCAGAAGGATGTTCTCAACGAGATAACTATACCAGTTTCTTCCCCAACTACTGCGAAGCCATCAAGGGCAAATACTGCTTCACCATGTAATAGTAACATAAATGCAGCTGTAGCTGTGTCCCTACAGGTAACTCGAATAGTTTTATTTATGTGAGGAAAAATATAATGCATTAGATAGTAAATTATTTTTTTCACATACTACTTTGTTAAGGCATATTCATTTGGAAATAGCCCAAATTGAAGCTGCCTGCATCGGAAAGAAACTGTAAGAGTTTTAAGATCACAGCAAAGAGATGGGAACTTTTATGTTATGTTGAGAGAATGAAGAATTTACTATTCATTCCATTTCTTTTGATTGTTTTTTTGCCTGATCATATTATAATAAAGTGAAGCTTCTTTGTTTTCCAAGTTATGATGAATTTATCATTTTTGGATAGCACAACAAGGCCTTGAGCCTCTTGAAATTCTTTTCTTTGTATATATTAGCAGTCCCCAACTTTTTTGGCACCAGGGACAGTTTCATGGAAGACAGTTTTTCCAAGGATGGGAATAGGGGTGGTTTCAGGTTGATTCAAATGCACTTCATTTATTGTATAGTCATACCTTTCTGCTAATAATAATCTGTTTTTGTAGCCACTCTCCAGCTCTAGCATCACCAGCTCAGCTCCACCTCAGATCATCAGGTATTGGATTCTCATAAGAAACGATAAGGAACGCAAAACCTAGATCCCTCACATGTGGAATTTCAGGAGGGTTTGCGCTCCTATGAGAATCTAATGTTCCTGCTCATCTTATGTGGTGATGTGAGCAATGGGGAGAGGCTGTAAATAAAAGCTTCTCACTTGCCTGTGGCTCACCTTCTATGTGGCCTGGTTCCTAATAGGCCACATACCAGTACCAGTCCATGGCCCAGTGGTTGGGGACCACAGATATATGTGACACTTAACAAATCTATGAGTGGCCACTGAGGGGGTTACTCCCACTTGCATTCAAGTTCCAGAATTGTTTCATAATTTTATAATTGGGAAGATATAGAAAAAAACCCACAAAATTTACTTATAATCCGTTTAGTGATGTAACTAGTATGATTTTAGTATAGCTTTTTATTAGTTGAAACTGTCTTATTTAATAATGACAGTAATAATAATTTTAAAAAAGCAGCTACCGGCCGGGCACAGTGGCTCACGCTTATAATCCTAGCATTCTGGGAGGCCGAGGCGGGCGGATGGCTCGAGGTCAGGAGTTCAAAACCGGCTTGAGCAAGAGCGAGACCCCCCGTCTCTACTATAAATAGAAAGAAATTAATTGGCCAACTAATATATATAGAAAAAATTAGCCAGGCATGGTGGCGCATGCCTGTAGTCCCAGCTACTTGGGAGGCTGAGGCAGGAGGATCGCTTGAGCCCAGGAGATTGAGGTTGCTGTGAATTAGGCTGACGCCACCACACTCACTCTAGACAGGACAACAAGTGAGACTCTGTCTCCGGAAAAAAAAAAAAAAAGCTGCTACCACTTGAATGCTTACCATGTTCTAGAATCGGTGCTAAACACTTGTGCTTTATTCTAATTCTACCTGTTTCAGTTGAGGTAATTAAGACTTTTTATTAGTTTTCTATTAATATTCTGCCTGCCCTTCTGCAATTCTTATGGATTCACTCTCAGGATATTTTATGGCAAGGAAAGAGGGTGGAACCATTTTATTTCATATGGCTATGCCATTATTAATTTATCCCTCTTTCTTAGGCATTTAGGTTGTTTGCACTACTTTTGTCAATTTTTAACACACACACATACACACACATATATACATATATAGATTGTACCGGTACATTCTAATTGCAGTGTATGTGAGAGGTCTATTGCCCTTTCCTAGAAAATAACTATGTTCTTGTGGTTAGCATGATTGTATTGTACTTTATTATTTACAGAATGTGTGCCATAAATATTTTTGTTTCTTATTACTTCAAAGGAACCCGAAGTAAGTTATGCTGAGGTGTGCCAGAAGCCCCCTAAAGAGCCATCTTCAGTTCTTGTGCAGCCACTACGGGAACTTCGCTCCAATGTAGTGTCTCCCACCAAAAATGAAGAGAATGGAGCTCCTGAGAAGTCTGTTGAGAAACCACATGAGAAGCCAGAAGCAAGGGCTAGTAAGGATTATTCTGGCTTCCGAGGCAATACCATTCCCAGGGGAGCAGCTGGAAAAATCAGGGAACAGAGACGCCAGTTTAGCCATAGGGCTATACCTCAGGGAGTGACTCGACGTAATGGCAAAGAGCAATATGTGCCACCAGATCACCAAAGTAAAGAAAAAACAAAACAAACTATTCATACATTCTCTCTCTTCCCATTAAACTTGAGCCGTGGCTATACTGAACTGTTTTGGAGGGGAGGGGTTAACCAGGAAGGAAGCAGGAAAAAGTATGTCCTTAAGTCGTTATGGATTTTGGAGTTGTGAACAGTAGGATCCCAAAATTCATCTCTAATGTGATTTTTAAGTGCTGGAGGATTCCATCAGTATATATATATTATTATAACACATATAAAAAGTATAATTTTCCTATTTTTGTTTTTGATTTTAATTTGCAGAGATTTTCTGCCTGGAATCAATTTTGAGGTTCAGATTTAGCTTGGGGGAAAAAAAACTTATACATCCTTCAGTATAGGAATGAGGGAGTGAGAGAAAATATTTTTTTGAACAAGCATTTCTGTAAATTAGAAATTACTTTTTAATCTATTAAAGTTTGGCTTGGAGAATGCCATCTCTGACTATATGGCCTTTTGTTGCAAAGCAGATTGGTGGCTGGGGTGCCTGTTGTGGGTGTGAGTGTGTAGAAGAGCGATTGAAGCCAAATCTATTGTTGTGTTAGTAAATGATTTGAAAACTGAATTATACTTGAGTATTTTTTTTTCCTAGTTTGAATTAGTCTGTCTTTTTGATCTACTAATATTCATTCAAGAAGTTATTAAGCTCTGATTGTACTTGGAGATGTGACTACAATCAGTTTGATACTCAAGGAAAGAATAGAGATATTTAAGAAATTGAAAAATTTCATCTTAGACCTGAGTAGATAGGTCAAATGGACTTGAGAGGTTTAAACTACCCTGTGATTTTTCCCCTAAACATGGGAAACAAAGTTATTTTTGTTAATCTATGTTACTCTGTTCTTTGCCCACCCAAAAAACAAATAACCCCACTACTGATTGTATGTTTGTAACTGCTTTGACCAGTGTAGTTAAATCATACAGGTGTTCTAAATTTCACATTTGAACATTGAAGTATTTACTCTTCTGTTCATATATTCAGAATTTAGGTCCAGAGTGGTAGGGCAAACTGACCCTACAATAATTTATTTGTGTTAGTGTTAAAGATGAAACATTGTAACTGACTCTTAAAGTGTTATAGTGAAAAGTAAAAAGAACTTTTTAAAAGCTTAATTTGTGGGAACTTTTTTCTGTTTACAATGTATTTATCACTTCCTTCCCCTCCCATTCTTAAAAAAAAAAATGCAATGTGTTCACTGAAACAGAACCAGCAAGTCAGGAGATTTTTAGTTACGATGAGGAAAGTGGTTGAAGAAAATTAATGCAAATTTCTCAGTGAATAAAGTTGTAGCTCTCACATATAAATAGGCAAGTTTACATGCTGGTATTTGGGAAATAGCTGAAATATTAAAAACATGTTGCATAATCTGTTTTAAGTCATACCATGTTCAAGTTCTATGTAAGGTGGTTTTATTTTGCTTTTATGGATAGTTTATAGTAAGAACTGTCCCTTATGTTAGTGAATTACATATGTACAAAATGAAACTGTAAATTGTGAACACTGGAAAGCACCATTGTGACATAGAGTAAACATCTTAGTAATATATTAAAATGAATGTAAATGGAGGTTAAAATTACATTACTGTGAATGAAACTCATCTTCCAACTCTAAGTTAAGCTTTGGAGATTTGTATTAGTGGGTAACTGTTAAGAGCTTTGAAAACACTGCACATTTCTGTACAAGCCAGAATTATTATTTGTAACTTATTATTCAGCTTGGCAATTGCTTTTGATTTGTTGGATTTTATAACATGGTATAACATATTTACTCAGTTTGAAACTATTCATTTCTACACACTATTTTTTAAATCACCTACTAGATGGAACATACAATAAAACTATCTGTGCTGAAATTTGGGGGAAGTTTAGGTCATTTTAAAAAAAAGTATTAATAATCATTGACTACATCTATGATAAAACTTCTTATTTTGGTTTACTTAGATAATGCTGCAGTTGGTGGAAATGATAAACGTTAAATTGTTAACATCTGTGAATGCATTGGATTTAAGAGAATAAACATTTTGTAAAAATCACTTGGTAAGGATTATAAACTTAATTATTGCACTTAAAATGAAACATTACCTATTTTTTAACAATGTGTCACAGATGTAGGCTTGTATTACATGTATGCTTGTATGTCTTACTGTTAGTCTACCAACTTCTAAAAATCTACAGATTGTAATTGTAACACAAGAAAAGTCTTTGAAGAAAGCAAGCGTAGTTTTGCTTTTTCTCCAAATATTATTGAAAGTAGAAATTTAATTTGAAGACATGACCATTTTAAAAATTTCTTATAAAATATAGTGTTTTTAATTTAATTTGCCTCATTACATCTAATAGTTCCCATTTGATGGGATATATAGGGAAGAATAAGTGTGTGTATGTGTATATATAATATATATTCACAGTATGTATTTAGCATTTATTTTATTACAGCAGATTTAAGGATTTTTTCTAAATGATGCCTGTGAGTTGTGTGAAACTTGGCTTTTTTCCAAGCATTATTCTGTAACTGATGAGGGTGGGTGTTCATTGTAGTTCAACTATTTATTTGGTTCTTTAGATGGAAAAATTTTAATATCAAATTTTTCTCTTCACCTTTATGGCTTACCATTTCCTTGGGCTGTTGGAGGCTGGAAGTAGATATAAATGATACTGAATGTTTGGTACAGTGATGTTCTGCCATTAAGTTCTTAATGCATGAAAAGAACAAGAGTCACTGCAAGTTCATTACCTTGCAGTTAATAGAAAAGGTACATAGAGACACTGCAAAATCTGTCTCCATTTTCTATCCTGATAATTAAGGTTTTAATAATACCAAGGGCCTGTCTCTAGTCTGAGTAATTTCAATTTTGCCAAAAATAGACACATTTAAAATAGTGATTTCTTCTAAATTTTTTTCAACTGGATTTTGGAGGAAGATAAGACTTAAATGATACGGGTTTGTTGTTGTGGTCTTAAGTGCTCAATTTACAGATGATCAAATGACATGCATAAATCTGATTTATTTTTGGTTCTTAAAATTAAGGTAGCTTGAATATTTCACATTCCTTTTTCTTTTTAAATAACCAGGTTTGCTTTGCAAAAGGCTTAAATGATGGAGTGTTAGCATCTTCACTAGTGTTTACGCTAGAAAACAAGAAGAATGTTACTGGAACAGAAAATAGTATTTAAAAGTTACTGAACACTTCTCTAGTTTATTAGGTATGGCCTTAATAATTAGTCTCTTGGCTTAAATGTCCACTGGTTTTACTATGACACAGTTGAACAACACTGGAGTTAAGTCTCTGATATTTGTGTTGGCAATATATATGAACCGTATTTTAAAAGTACCAGTTTTGTTTTTCTTTTCCTTTCCTTTTTTTTTTTTTTTAACAGAAATGGTAAAACTCAAAAGATGATATGTGTTCCTTTTAAGGGGGTTTTATAAATTCTTAATTAGAATATGTGATGGATTTTTCTCCTAACATTTTATATTTCCTTTCAGTTTGTTGGCCATTAATTTAACTGGGCTTTTTGGCATATGCTAATGTAGCTAGCCTGAGCTTCCAAGAAGACACTTAGACATTTCACTTTTTATTTGCTCAATGAGGATATTTTAAGAAGTTGAAAGCGAATTTGTTTTCAGGTTGAGAATCAACTCTCTTTTAAAATTCATGTGATTATTAAATAACTTAAAGTTTATTTTTTAAAGCTGAGAACTTTTTATGAATCTTTGAGTAGACAGTTCCTAAAAGTGCAACTCAGATATCAACAGGCTGTGTATTAAATGGTTTTATTTTCAGTTTTGCAGCACAGCACATACTGATTAGTATATGTAAAGAAAGATCCATGTCAACGTTGATTTTCTTTCTTTTTTTTTTTAACCTGATGCAGGTGTCCTTTGACATCTCTTAAATGTGAGGGTGTGGGGGTCAGAACCAGTTCTCTGGCTTCTATTTTGTCCATTGCTTAGATTTGTTCCTGTTGTCAAAACTGTCCCCCCAAAGGTGTGACACATGCTCATGCATAAAATGTTAAAATGAGTACATCCTTGTATTTGTATTTGTTTTCAACATTGCCAAGGTGCTATGGGAAACTAAAGTAACAAAATTAGAAAAAAAATAAAATTATTAAAAGCAGGACTGGTGTATGTCTAATGACTACTTCTGTGTATTTTTCAATAATTTTATGTGTTGACCCTTCTCTAATTCCATCATTATTCTGGTCTCAGCTAGTTTTTTGTTTTTGTGGGGGAAGGGGAGTGGGAGGTATGGTATTGTATGGTATTTCATGTATAAAACAAGGACAGAGCCAGGGTAAATATTCAGCTTTATGATTCGTGGATTTTCTTTTCATTCTTTTAGTATCAGAGGCAGTCATTGAAGGGGAAAAAAAAAAAATCCCAGGGTAATAATGTACAGTTTAAGGATTTTTACCTTCGTGGGATGGATTATTGCCTTGCTTGAATATGTGATTATCAAACCCAGTTAAAGGATATTTGGGGCTTTTTAAAGGAAAAATTCACTAGGGAATTTAAATGAATGTTTTAGTTTTTAAAAGATGTTTCTTTTTTTTTTTTTTTTGAGACAGAGTCTCACTTTGTTGCCAGGCTAGAGTCAGTGCCATGGCATCAGCGTAGCTCACAGCAACCTCAAACTCCTGGGCTCAAGTGATCCTCCTGCCCCAGCCTCCCAAGTAGCTGGGACTACAGGCATGCATCACCATGCCCGGCTAATTTTTTCTATGTATATTAGTTGGCCAATTAATTTCTTTTTTATTTATAGTAGAGACGAGGTCTCGCTCTTGAGCTCAGGCTGGTTTCAAACTCCTGACCTTGAGCAATCCTCCCGCCTTGGACTCCCAGAGTGCTAGGATTATAGGCACGAGCCACCACGCCTGGCCAAAAAATGTTTCTTTTTAAGGCAAAAATGGAAAAACTGAATGAGACTCTGGCTTTTTAACAGCTGTTATTTGTAAGTTAATGTGATAACTTTTATTGAATGTACTATGTTGCTTAAAAAAAAAAAAAAAACAGTGTGTTTCATGGCTATTTCTGTTTATTGTTGAATTGTTAAAGTGAAATTTTATGGTAGAAATCTAGGTCTCAATTTCAAACTATATTCTCTTAATTCTCAGAAATAATTACTTTTCTACCTAGTTATGTGAGATGGATATATTTGTAAATAATATACCTTAAGGTAACACATTTAATATGAGCATTTACTTTCATAATTACTTTGCTCTTTATGTAGCATTGCCCATTAGCTAAATCTTTAATTTGCTAATAAACAGTTACACTTATCTTCATGAGGATGGCTAATATCAGTGGGCAAAATGGTCATCCTGGTAATGACAGGTTTACAGGGAATTAAGTACTAAAAGCCTTAGGGCCTTATGTCAGTTTGTTAGTATATTTATTTGGCCAAGGTGGGTGGGCGTATAACATAAATTTTATCTCAGGAGCATGGTATAATGGTGTATTCATTTTAGTGGACTGAGAACCAAATTGGTAAACTCTGATAGGCTTTTGAGTTGTATTTAAAATGAATGGGTTTGCAAAGAGTTTTACTACATATACCTTATATTTAGCCACTTGTTTTATTAGATAATATTAGCCTAAATATCATGCCTTCGAGTTTTAATATATACCTGGAGGTTTTCAATAAAACATTTTAACAGTTATTACCAAAGAATTGTGAATTTTCTTCTATCAAAAGTGTCTTTATTCTACCATGTCCCTAGGAGGATCCTTCCCCCCTAAAAATGTCTTTAATTTGTATGAGGGTTTAAAGGAACTGGAATGTTTTCACTTTCTTTGTATTACTCCCAAATAAGGACCCTCAGTTTCTTCTGGTCTTGTAGGGAGGAGCAAGCTATGTTACCTTTGTCTTTTAAAATTCATTTTTTAGTAGCTGTTCTGCAGGTCTTTGAAATTGCAATATTTGTCTTCTATTTTCATTGTATACCTATTTGTATTAGACTTAGGGAACCATAGAAGTACTCCAGCTCCCCTGTAATATTATATTGGCTGTTATTTATCTTTATACATTTGTATTTTGAATTATGTATTAAGTTCTAATTTTGCTATTATGCATTCCAAGTTCTGCATAGAAAAGTAGCTTTTGACTTGTCAAAACAAGGGTATTTACATAGCATTGGAGCAAATCATGATGAATCGAGCATTCAGTCAGTATTTATTGCATGCTGTATTCCAGACAGTGTGGTAGGCAGTAAAAATAGGATTTCTGCCCTTCTGGTGCTTAGCATGAAAAAGTCATAAATAATTGCAAAATTAGAACAATAGTAAATATGACATCTGGAGTCTGACTGAATCTGTGGGGTTGAAGTGGAGGATGGCACAAGGAAGGAATACTTTGAGTAACTGAGAGTGCATATGTCTGAAGGAGTAGGAGTTAATAAGCAGGAGGAGAGTGTCCCAGATCTGAGGGAACAAGCTATACTCATTTTATGTGCATTGAAAAATTGTAGGGCCCTGCAACCTACAGCATGGGGAATATTCCATCTTCCAAGATGAGGCTGAAGAGGTAGGTAGACTTCTAGGATTTGAAGTGTGTGGATAACACAGGGGAGACCAGTTAGGTCATACCAGGTAATGATATAGCTGGAGCAAAGTGGAAGATGTGAATAACACGTAGGAAGTCAAATCTGCACGCAAGTCGAGAAGGAAGAGGGCAGGAGGCATCAAAGAATTTGTCTTGTGGGACTGGATGGATGTGAGTGCCATTCACCATGATTGGCAAAAAACCTTTTGTGAGGAGGGAAAGATTATAAGTACAGTTTTGAGATGACTTCTTTTTTTGCAGGATTTTTTGTAATCCTAACCATGACAAGATGAGGGCAGGGCAAAAAAAAATAATACTAACCCAGAAGCAATTCTTTCAAGTTCAGTAGTTCATCTCTAGTATAGGGTCGTTTTGTTTTAGTTTTTGGGTTTTTGCAGGAGAAGTGGGGGAGTGTTGAGACAGGGTCTGTC